ATCAAAGAACTGAATTAACAACAGTGATGGAACACTGTTAGAGTAGAAAAATGTGGGGTTCAAATTCAAGATGTGCCCCTTAATTATCAGTGTGAATTTAGGCATGTTACTTAAACTCTGTGTTTCACTCCTCATCTATAAAATTGAAATGAGAAAACCTATTTCCCAAGATTTTTGTAAGAGTTAACTAAGAAAATATCTATAAAACCTAATATGGTACCTGGTCTATAAATTGTGTTCAACTAGGAGAAAGCTAAAAAATGAGATAAGATAATAAGCAGCGGGGTCTGACAAGCAGCTAGCACTGGATAAAGAGTAAATATGAATCAGAATGATTTTTTTCCATAATCTTTTGTTTCTTACACAGAATGCCATGGTCTACTAGAATGGGAGATCCAACAGAGCTAGTGCCTAAGACAGTTCCTGGCAGGCGGCGGGCACATGGTACACACGGACCAAAGAGTGAAAGTATGGACATAGGATCGCAAGGGTGGACTGAGAACGGATGCCCTTCTTACACAGAGACATCTTGGTCAGATGGCCCAGGAGAAGACGAAAGAGCTGCTCTGGGCTTAGGCACAGGCTGAGCTATTTCAGTAAAGACAGGTTTGCCTGGCTCTTCCCAGAGGGTATGGCCACAGGGGTCAGTGGAAATAGCTGTCAGTTTGCTGGGCTTCTGGGATTCCCTGGAGGCAAATTTCATCAAATGGCTTTTCCAGTTAAAACCTGTTTCCCTTTGCTCTTAGGGTAAAATCCAAACTCTTTGACAGGCTCTATCAGCCTTTCTGTTCACCTCTGGCTACTCTTCTCCTCTCATTCCAATGTCTGGCTGCATTTGACTTTTTTCTAGCCCTAAATGCTACCATGCTATCTTTTGCCTCCAAGTCTGGACCCAGGCAGTTTGTTTTGTGTCTCAAACTCATATTTTATCCGCTCCTGGCACACTTCCTTTCTGCCACCTACTGTGTACATATCCTTCCGGTATCAGCTTAAACATCACTCACTTGAGAAACCTTCCTTAACAAATACCCATCCCCAAACTCACCCTGCATTAGCGGGACGTTAGACCCATCCCATGTGTTCCCGCAGCTCTCTGTGCTTGCTCTACCTTAGCACTTACTAAGCTGTAAAGGCAGTTTCTGGGTCTTTCCCCCACAACTAGAATGTAAGCTCAAAGTTTTTAAAGAGTTTAATCTGTTTTGTTCCCTGCTTTACCACTAGTGCCTAGAATAATGTCTGACTAATAGTGGACACCCGTAAATGTTTGTTGAATAAAATGAGTGAATTTCCATATCTAGATTATGATACAGTAGTAAACTCCATGAGGTATGGTTGTGTATCATTAACAAAAAGTACAGTTCCTGGCACATAGTAGTTACTCGTCAAATATTTATCAAATAAATAAGCTTTATTTGACACTGATTACCCATTCATATCTCATTTAAGTGCTCATTTCAAGGATTTAATGAGAAAGAGTGTCATGTGTTTTAGTTGTTTCACCTTTTATTCTATTAACGCTTCCAAATTTTTTGCTGCTTTTACATTCAAATTATTCATCAGCAACTTAGCAACACTTAAACACTCTCTACTATCAATGATACAAAACACCAATGATATCAATTTCCAATTTTAAAAAGTTTACTTACTACCTACCTTCATTGCCTCATAAATGTTATTGTTACCACTTATCGTAAGGTTTAGAACAATCCCAAGGGCCTAAAAGCCCAAACGACAGGTATCAGTATCTAAAATTTCACTAGACCTGAAATCTTTCATCAGGAACATAAATCAGACACCTGAATTCAATTAAATCCCCTAGAAACCACCTTATATCACCTTTGTAAAGATGAGTGATGCCCACAAATAAGTAGATTCTCAAAACATCAGTATACTATCCCACAATAACTTGAATAAAGGCTAACCTTGTAAAAAATATCCACCTCTTCTAATTCTAAAAAAAAATATGTCTATGATTAAGTGGGGCAAGAAGGTGGGCAGGGCATCAGAAACTCCGTTAGCCATGGGTTTCTTCCTTGATTTTATAATATGTAAATATAAACAACCTAGGACCTCGAGTTTGTTTGTTTGTTTGTTTGTTTGTTTGTTTTGCAGGGCCTTTTGGTAGATCTCTGTCATTATATTTAAGGTTAATGTTTACTTCTTATTATTAACTACACCAACATTCATCCCTTGTTGACTCTTGCTGAGCAACTAGGCTATCAGAGTCATTTATTAATAATTTGTATTTAGTGCATAATCTGGTAATGCTGAAAGTGCTGTAAGCAAGCCTTCTTATCAGAGCAGAATTAGCCAGTTGGGTTTTTTGCTAAATGATGAGCAAATCTGCAGCATCACTCTCACCACTCATGCCTTTGCAGTGATTAATGTCAGCAAGACCGAAGACCCTAGGCCAGTCGTATAGCAAATGGGCTTGGAACTTAGGCAATTTGCTCGGATGTCATAAATACTTTTGAAATTGATTTTAATTCATTCATTTTTAAACCACCTAGTTTCAGAAAGGATTTATGACCATATCTAAAGGCACAGTAAATATAATCCAGCAAGATGATATATATATACATATATATATATAAGTAGGTGAGGCAAATGTGGCAGAAGAGAAATAAAGGTGGGGTGTCACAGGGCTCTTCTCTTCTTACCTGTGTACTGCAACCCCCTGTACTCGCTTATTGCCCCAGGAGGTTTTAAATTGGGCCAGTAGTGGAAAAGCATTTGCACAGCTGGAGGTTTCACTTGTGAAGGCCCATAAGCGATCACATACAAAAGATCCTAAAGGGAACAGGAAACATATTTTAACTTAGCATTGTCAAATAAAAATAAAGGTAGCTAATTCAATATTACCAAAGCAGTGAAAATTCCAGTGGAGGGGATAAGGTAGGTGATTTCCCTGGAATCACATCCAGGTGCTCTTCATAGATTAGATCAAATTAAAACATTATTAATTATTATTTATTTATCTGGTCCTTCCATAAATGAGCCCCTCAGGTAGAGTTCAAAGTATACTATCTTTTAACAAACTCTTCGTTAACCAGATTAATGTTTAAAAAAAGATTTTAGAATAGAATAATAAAGGGGGCCAACACTACATTTTAAAAAATACTTTCCTAATCATACTTCTTAACAATTCACATCTCCTATTTGAAAGAAGACAGATTCTCAAGTGACCTTTCAAATCAGATAAAATAATTTGTCAGGCAATATAATATTCACTTAATCCCAAGAATAAAATATATCCAATTACTTTATTTGTCAAGACACTGTGTTCTTAAAGTATCATATCTGCTCTAAATGATAAATAATTAACCAGTAAAAAATTATAGGTTCTGCCACATCAAAATAATAAAACACATCAATAAATCTGTTTAAACAACAATTTTAATCTACAAACAATTTTTGCTATATGATATAAATTAAGTTTGTGACAATAGGTTAAATTCGACCCAAAACTTACTTTCCAGACTTCTTGTTTATATTTCATGAGGCATTCCAGTAATTGACAATGATACACTGTAAGAAAGAAAATATATTTGTGCATGAAATGTAAATACCCAGACAAAATATCTTTTGAAATATAATAATCTACTTTAGTATGACTTTTCACTCTAATCATGAAATTATAAATGACTTATCGCCATATGTTCATACTTTTCAAAAATCATATAAGCCTTTGACTTTATCAAGCTTTATTCCAATGTCCTTGAGAAGTATTTCATGTATCATATTAACAAAAAAAATATTTTTTTAAGTCCCTAATAATCATACTTCTATAACATAAATTTGTATCAATGTAATCAAGAAGTACATAGGAAAAAAACACTAACCCAACAGGATCATAATAAAAGCTCACATTTATTAAGCATTCATTATGTGCCAGCTATTGTACTAAAAGCTTTATACTTATTATCTCACAACCACCATGTTATACTTAGGAAACTGAGGCTTAGTTTCCTAACTTCCCCAAGGTTAGATGAATAGCAAGTGGCAGACTGATGGATTAGAATGGAAGTTTCAGCATTTGATCATCAACTCTATCTTATAAAGGAATTTTTCAAAGCTACACAACAGCAAGCTCCCTTGATTTGCCTATCTTCACTTGGGGAAGAAAGATGCTTTCATTCTAGTTAGATGCCTATTTGATACCTTCCCTAATCTATATTCCAAGCCTATCATGACACTGAAACAACCTCAATTTGTTCATCAATGACCTCCGTATTGTTCAATCCCATGGACATTTTTCAGACTTCGTCTTACTCGACTTTTCAGCATCATTCAGTCCTGCTGACTACTGTCTCCTTTTTAAAACACTCTCTTCCCTTGGCTTCATGACATGACATGGCCCTCTCCTATCATCTGCGGTGGGCCCTATTATTGCTACTCAACTGCTGTCAACAATCCTTTCTTCCTTGTCCATCTGCCATTACACAGACTACAAAAGAAAGACGCTTTCCCAGACTCCTTGGCAGCAAGGGATGGCCATGTGACTCAGTGCTGGAGAGTAAGACTTACGAGACAATCTACTGCAGAGCTCCTGAGACATCTATTTTCCTCTCCGATAAAAAGAAAGAGGTGCACCAAGAGACCTTTCTGTAATGACCCTGCCTGATCCTATTACCTGGTTTTGGATGTGGTTGTATGAGGCTATAACCTCCACTATGGTAGCCACTTTGGAAGCATGAGGGGAAGTCCAAGAGAAACACAAAGATGTCATCTCAGCCCCCTGATGCTGTGGAGCTACCTTTAAGACTTCCTATTAAGTAAAGAGCAAATGTAAATGTACATTTATAGCCTCTGTTTGTCAGTCCAAGACATTCTAAGAGATACAACCTCTCTATCCCCTTGGCAAGCTCATCCTCTTCCATTTAGCCATTATCTGTTGGAGTTCCTGAAGGGCTGGCCATAGAACCACTCCACATTCCATTTTATGCTCTCTCCTGAGCAATCTCACACTCATATACAGCTGCAGAAACCATCTCTACGCAATTCAGTGAGGGTTTACTGCACGCTTATATGTAGGCCCAGTTCATTACCTCTAGGCCAAAGTTGTGTTTACCTAATTACCATCTCCTCGTAGATGTCTCATAGATGCTTTGAACAACACATCCAAAATGGGTCTCATGGTCTCCCTCAGAAGCCTGACCTTCTTCCAGTGCATCCTGTATCCATGAGTGGAACCATTATGCATCCAGTTGGTGAATCCAGAAGCCCACCATATGAAGAATGTCCTCAAGTGCTACCAATTTTACCTCCTGACTAGGTCTCAGACAGATCCGCTCTTCTCAGTTTCAATTGCCCCTCCCTTTGACATGCATAGACAAATGCAGTGACCTCCTCAGTCAGTCTACATCCAGTCCGGCTCCTTTTCAATCTGTTCTCAACAGCAACCAGGTAGATACACATTCATCTCACTTAGAGCCCTTCAGTGGCTTCCCATTAGACTTGGGACAAACACAGGCCCCTAACACAGAGCCCACGACATCCTGCACGTTCTGGCCCACGGAACTCTAAGTCTAATGGCACACCAGCACCCTCACCCTGAGTTCCACCTGATCCTGCAGCCCCACCCGTTTGCCAGACCCCCTCCTGACACAAGGTTCCTCTGCCCAAAGCACCCCCACCTTGTACGCCTTGTTAACGCTACTCATCCTTCAGTCCCCAGACCAAAGTTTAGGTCCTCAGAGAAGTCCCCCGCTACCACCCCCATAAAAGCAAAATCCCCTTTTATAGAGTCCTTGTAGCACAATGTACTTGAAGCACTTGTCGCAACTGAAACTTTACGCTTAATTTGATAACTAGGTGATTAATGTCTCCTCCCCTCCCTCAACCATATAATAAGTTTCCTGACATGAGGGCAGGGGTCATATCGTTTCACTAACTGTGGTGCCCCCATGCCTGGCACATAGTAAGAGATACTTAGTGACCTTTTATTGTATAGTCACTCGAGAATTGGAATTTTGTACTTAAGCCATCATTGAGGTCTCAAGTACAGATGGTCCAGTGTCCTTTCTCTTACACACGGGCCTCTGTATGAATCTTGTTCAGAGTCCTCTGACTGCCCCCCAAACACACTTGGATGGTCCCTTTGTTTAAACTGCTTCCCCCACCCACAATGCCCTGTCTACCCTGTCAATCAAAACCTGTCCATTCTTTAAGACTTACCCTTTGCTCAAGAGACACAAGGTCTTTTCTGATCATTTCAACCCATAGAGTGCTCTTCTTCTGATGAACTAACACTGTCTATAGTTTTTGTTTGCTACTTTCCATGTTCTGCTTTACATTATTAACTGATGATTTATGTGAATATACCTGATCGTCCCAGTTAGACCTAAGCTCCACAGCAAGCCCATATCTTACATTTGGGTGTGGTGTTCACAGTGCCTGGCACAGAGCATATATAGGAAACACTCAGTGAATGCCTATTATTTAAGCAAGGATTGTGCTGTATCCTTGACACACAGTCTCAAGAACCAAGCTGCCACCTGCTGCTTCTCCCAATAAAAATTCAAACAATAGAATGATGACCTGCCACTTGGTCGCAGAGAGCCCCTGTTAGATATTGCCTCACTTAATGTTCCCCACATCACAGGACTAGTATGGGGTCCCAAATGTAATTCCCTGTATAGAGAAGCTGGTTATAAACATTCCCCCTGAATAAATGAAGATATACATTTTGAAGTAAAAAAGTAACTCTCATCTGATCACAGTAGTTTTCCAGCAACACATTCAACTCCAAGAAGAAAATGGCAAATTGGAAAGATTAGCAATGCTATTTATTGAGCATTTTTAATGTGCCAGCCACTGTGCTAAATAAGCACTTTACATACACTTAACTCATTACACTTTCACAACATTTTAAAGTTCTTCGGGAAGAATCATTCTCATTTTATAGATGAGGAAATTTGGTCTTAGGGAGATTAAAGAACTTGTTCAAGGTTACACTAACTGTCAATTTGAAGGTAAACTCAGATGCGAATCCATCTAATATCAAAGCATCCTGCTTTTCTACCCACATAACTTAGAAATTAGGACCAAAGCCTCAGCCAGGCAGTCCTAGTGTTTCTTAGTATATTTGGCATGAGGAATTTCTTAACAGCCAGAGTGTTACCACGCGAGCCAGCCTTGGTGTGTCCTTCTGACTTGCTTATACTGCTGTAAAGGATGTGGCGAAGAAGAGAAATGATTTAAAAGAGCATGAAGTTGTTAATCGACGAGGATTAATAAGAAGTGGTAATATGTATGAACCATGGAGTATATTCAGCTCTAAGAAACA